CGACCTAGCCTAGGTATCTGACCGCGGCCCGTGAAAGTTGCTAGCGCCAAGACCGGCGCGAGCATTCCGCCTACAGCAGCTAATTTGCTTTGATTCATTCAGTCTCGAGCTCCAATATCGAAAAGCCACATATTCAACCGGACTACGAGCTTCTCTCCGATGCAGCGATAATCTCCCACTGAGCCGACTCGATCTAAGCGTGTGTGGAAGGGAACCCTCCGCAAATTACGGCGGCCGACCTCGAATCTCCCAAGGAAATCGCGTGGCCTCCACAGGGTCAGCCTCAGTTGCGATGGTAGTGAAAGAGAATGGACAAGTGACAGATGTCATGTCCACGGCAAAGGGGCAAACGAATCTTGAAGAGCCACGGAAGAAGGGCTTCGTGCGATGGACAATCGGACTTGTCGTGAGGTGAGTGATGGTATCGCCATGCTTGTACAGTACAAATCGTCTTCTAACCTCTTTACCTTCTCAGGCTATGTATCTGGTACACACTCGTGACAACGTTCCTCAGATGCCCATCCCGCATCGCGGACCTCACAGAGACATCGCCTCGAGTCTGCAAGCCTTACCTGATTGTTCGTTCGCACGTGGAACCTTATATGACGCCATATTATGATATCTATGCAGCACCTTACGTTGATAAAGCCCGGCCGTATGTTGATGAAGCCCGGCCATACGTGGAAGTGTTTAATCAGCGAGTTTATACCCCGGCATCCAAAGTTGCCAAATCAGGATATGAAAAGTATGGAGCGCCAACATTCAAGCAAGCTCAGGATTATGGGATTGAGCAATGGCAACATCAAGTCACACCAAGACTACAAACCGCTCAAGATAAGGTGCACCAGCTTTACTTGACCGAGATTGACCCATATGTCCAGCAAAGCGTTGCTGTTGTCTCTCCATACTATCAATGGGCCAATACCGCTGTGCTCAATGTCTATCAGGGCCATCTGGTGCCTTTCTACGCGCGTTCCAAACCTTTCATTGGGAAAGCTTACTCCACGGGCCAGGATATTTTGATAACCCACGTCTTGCCCGGGGCGCAGTATACCTGGTCGTCCGCGGTCTACTTTGCTAACAGCTCACTATGGCCTCACGTTACTGGTCTTTATTCTGAGCAAGTCGAGCCCCAGCTGGTCAAAATTGGCCAGCGGTTGGCAAGCTACAGGGAGGGCAAGCGACTTCGCGCTGTCGTAGAGGATGTTGATAGGTACTTATAGCCCCTTGATTTATCCAGTCAATACATTGCTAACCATATCACTAGCAGCTCCACAGTCCAACCCGTTATCCCCTCGACCACCAAGTCACAGGAACAAATTCACACCACGACCACTGTGACTTCAACCTCCAAGCCCCAGGCTTCTCCACAACCCACTCTAACTCCTACCGAGCAAGCGCAGCAAGTTCGCGAGAAGATAGATTTGGACCTTGAGCGGTGGCAGGGAAAGTTTGCTCTCGCAGCTGATAAAGGTATTGAAGACCTTGAGGAACGTATTGGGGAGATCGTGTCCGCCCTAGTTGCAAGCAGCGCGAACAGCCACGGCCAGAGCCTTTATACCGCACTTCAGTCAGTTTCAGCCGAACAGCTTTCCTCCATCAAGCAACGTATCAATGAACTCGCGGGTTCAATGCCAGAGGAGGACGCCCCGGAGATTGAGGAGTCTACTAGCGACTTGCTGATTGGAGAAATCCGAACTTCGGCTATCTCTGTGAGAGATCGCGCCCATGCACTCCGAGAGTGGTCTATCTCGTTCGAGGATGAACTTATTCGCCGAGTCACTGCTGCTGTCGATTCGACATTGGATGTTCTCGACAGCATCCGTGACCTGGGCTTACAAGAAATTGGCATGCGCTGGGCGTGGATGGATGGTGTCACATACAAGGACTGGGCAAAGTACCATGCCCTCAAAACGCAACTCGAAGAATGGCGGGACGACATCCGATATGTCGGCATGAACCACAAATCCGTGTCTGACGCCAGAGCCGTGGCGAGTGACATCTTGGACCAGGGCATGCATGAAGCCGAGCAAGCTGCCAGGGAACTTGTCCGGTTGAAGGATGTTGGGATCTGGAAAATCGCTGCTCGTGAAGTCAGCGATGGTTTCGAGACTCGCACCGAAGCCCCTCCGGCGAGACCCAAGCCCCAGGAGACGGAGGAATCGGACGAAGAAGCTGCCAAGGTGGATTCCGATGATGATGAGTCTTCCGAAGAGGTGGCAGCGCCAATATCGGAGGACGCTTATGAGGAAAACCCTTCCACCGATGAGCCCACCGATGAGCCCACCGATAAGCCTTCAGCAGCTGTCGATGCTGAGGCGTATTTTGATGGTGCTGACGAGTCTGTTATGGACGATGATATCGTGGAGGAAGAACAGGCCCCCGCCAGACCCGCCTTTGGTGTTTCAGCTGCCGATGCAAATTCGCATCAAGCCCCTATCCTAGATGATGAGGGCCAGGATGTTCTGAACAGTTTGGCGAGCAAGGCCGGCGACGCTTACGCCGAGGCGAGCAATGCTGTTAGTGAAGCTATCTATGGTGCATCGAGCACGCCCGGAGCTGGTGAGAAGGCAGCATCATTGGCCAGTGAACAGTACTCTCTTGCCTGGTCCGCAGCCTCTACCGTTATCCATGGCACACCTCTGAGCCCCGGAGAGAAGGTTTACAGTGATGCCTCTGAAAAATATAGCGATGCCGTAGCCACGTAAGTATATAGCATATTCATCTTTTTTTAAAACTGCATAAAACGAATTCTCGCTAATGCGAATCTCTGCCACAGTGCGTCGTCCATCATCTATGGCACTCCGACACCGCTTGTCGAATCTTTGATAGGCGGAGCCAGCTCAGCATTTGCCGGTTCCACAGAGCAGGCCAAAGTACTCTATAAGATCGCGAAGTCTCAAGTTCTTGGTCAAATGGCTGAATCTAGCGCTCCTGGTCATCCCCAGCTCCTAGCTTCCATAGAGTCGGCTTATTCTGGGTCTCTAAAATATGCCACAGATGAGCTGGAATCGAAGCTCCGCGCCGTTCGTGCTACCCCGACGCCATCCAATACCGGACCTCTGGCCCAGATTTCGTCTATTGCCTCTTCCCGGCTAAACAAGGGACTCAGCTTAGCATCCGAACAATTAGCTCAAGTACAACCACCAGCTACAACAGCCAGTCTTCCCCAGGGAGCTCTCGACCCATTCGTTCTTGATGCGCAGCGTCGCTACTACGAGGCAGTCGGGTTGGCCCACGACCACTACTCTGCTTTTGTCTCTACGGCATCTGGGGCGGTCTATGGTTCTCCAACTCCCACACCAACAGGAAGCTCCAAGGGAATCCTTGAGGAAGCTGGGTCTCAATACGAGCACGCTTGCTCGTTGGCTTCTGCCAGTCTTGCCGCTGTCGTCGCATCGGCAAGCTCGGTCGTGTCTTCCGCGGATGGCGGCAAAGCACAAAGTATTATTGATGATGCTTCTTCCCGATACCATGCTGCCCTCTCCGCGGCTTCCTCGTCTCTCTCTGCAGCTTCCGTTTCGGCCAGCTCGGCCATCTATGGAACTTCCACTGGCCCTGTAGCGTCCCTTTCTAGTCAAGCATCTGAAAACTGGGAAAATCTCATCTCTAAAGCCAGCGAGCAGATCTACGGTGCGCCAACGCCGTATCTGCAACAAGTGGTGAACAACGGTCGTCCGCAGTTTGAGGCAGTCCAAGAGCTCGTCGCTGAACTGATTGCGGACAAGCAGCCTTCATTTACCGACAGTGTGCTGAGCAAGCTGCGAGCCGCATACGAGACGCCGTACCCGGCTGCCGCTGCCTCCTCTGCCTCTAGCTACGTCAATGAAGCTTATGGATCCGCGTCCTCCGCCGCTGCTTCTGTCGTTTCAGAAGCCTCGAGTGTAGAGGACATCATACGACACGCGAATGAGCAACTCGATGCTGCTGTCGAAACCGCCAGCGTTGGTATACACGGAACATCCAGGGGTTCCTACGAGAAAGCCACCGATGCCGTAGCCGATGCCTACTCAACGGCTTCCGCTCAGATCAGTAGCGCGGTTTACGGCAAGGAATCCGGTTATATCGATGTCGCTAAAGATGCCATTGAGAATATTCAATCCACAGCCAGCGCTTCTATCTACGGCAAGGAACCCAACGCAATGCAGAGCGCAGCTATCCGTCTCGCTGAAGCTAAAGAAAACGCCATGTCTCAGCTGGCTGATCTAGCCGCCAGCCAGGATAATCACGTTGTGTCCGAGGCAGTCGAGACCGCCGCATCCCACATTGAAGATACAACAAGCCGCATTAAGAGCGATGCAGCTTCAGTCAAAGATGAACTTTGATCAATTTCAACCTAGCGTGTATCAACGCATTTCTTTCTTTTTCCTCTTTTGATTCGGACTCGATCATTCAGTTCCGAACGAAAAGCATGCCCTGGGAATGCCATACGCAGCTCACGAGGCATTATTCCCCATATAGTTTGTCACGGCCATATGCTCATGATCTGCAACATGCACAGTCTCGCTTTCATTTTTCGGCTTCTATCTCCCCATTTTGCGTCCCTCCCTAATCCCTTCCCGGTTAAAATACGAGTCTTGTTTTGAAGTGATATACGTTCAGTACATAACGAATGAATGGATTTTCTGAGCATTGTGCCTAGTGTTCCAAGGTTTACTTGAGTGGATATATGTACCTATCACCCACAGTGTGCATCTTGTCCAAGGGGCTGCTGAGGATACGTAGGTTACTTAGCAGCAAGAATCTACCTAGATACACTATATTTCTACGAGAAAAAGTGGAATCATTTTCCTATAGAAAATGACACCTACGAAACACGTAGGCAAAGCTTGAAACTTGGCTTGAACTTAGGTCGAGGGTAGTAGAAAAGTTCCCTGCTCCAATATATAAAGATATAGAATGAAACGAGCGCTTTAGATGGCAACTACTAGAGATGGCAATGACTTTGGAGCTCCGATTCTACATCCACTCATTTTATACATATCCTCCCTCCAACAAGATCACCTATACTTCATAGTGGGGCCTCTCTTTTCTTTCTTCAGCTGCGTCTTGCTCTTTGGGGCATCGCCCCCTTGACCGGCATCACCACCACCCATTCCAGCAAATCCCTTCTTCACACCCATTATCGTGGTGTAGGCAGCGTACACAGAGTATAACGGGATCACAGTCCATAACCACCAGGCCCGGTCATTGAAGAGGCAGACAGCAACAATGCATCCCTGGGTCCAGTAAAGCACATCCCACATATACTCCGTCAGGCCAGTTGCGTTGAGATCCTCGCCGGCGGAGCGCAGGGAGCCATCTTCGTTATAGCGGGGCCGACCCATTCGGTCCAAATAGTATTCAATGGCAAGGGTTGGGACAGCCAGGAAGAAGTATGGCTTCAGTGAACGCGGCCGCTGGAAGACAAAGTGCAGAAGGAGGAAGAGCAGATGCAATGCAGCAGAGATGAGGTGAGTACGACTGAGGACGGCACCATTGCGGGTCGCCAGGGATTTGGCTGCTTTCTGTGATACAGTTAGACATTTCCCACACAACTATCAAAGCTAACCTGAAGTTTAGTCGCAGTAAGAAAGCGCCCTCACTACATACCTGAGCCATGATTGAATGCGATCACAAGTGATCTGCAATCTGATGCCAAAGATGATCCTTTCCAAATTCAAGATGTCCCAAATGATTTGACGAAGCTTTTTCTTTTTCAAATGGCAAGCGAACGACCGGAATTCGAGGCTGAGCGGAGAAAGAAGTAGAAGAGAGGGGACCTGCATATGACAGCTATAGCACATCTGGTGATTGTTGCCCTCCACTACCCTCACCGCCCGGCAGAAACGGCAGAAATGACAAAGGCCGCTTGAGACCAAAATAACAGAAAGAACGGCCGAAGTTCATCCCATCTTGAGCACACTTGCAGTCGTCCGCTTCTTTGGAAATGTTCCTGGCACTCTGAGAGACCCATCCTGCGTCCGCAGATGACGTAACCAGGGGACTCCCTTTTCACTTCTTTCTATCTTTCATCCGCTTACTATTTCCGGCTTGCGTTTACATTCCTCGTTGTTCCACACCTGCGTACCGAGAGCAGTCGATAGCTACTGCACCTAGACAAATCCAACCGAGGCATCGGACTTGCTACTGTCCATGTCTTGCGGCTGTTGATGGGACCATTCGCTCGCGCTGCAACAACCCACTCGATCGCGTCGTTGTTTCCTCCCCACGTCTTGGAGGTCATTACAAAGGCGCCGGATATTGATGTTACAGCGACGCTGAGGAACCGACTTTACAATCGCATTAGTTTCTCGACTTTCAACAATCACTACACAATCCCCGCCTTGCATCCTGCTGTCGCATACCACGTTGCCGACCCCTCACCATGGCCTTGTCCACCGGGCATGTTGCCAGTCAGCTACGGCACCTCATCTATTACCAACTCGACAATAATTTAATTCGCAATGCGCTCTTCCTCGCTTCGCGCCTCCACGCCTATGAACCGCGATCCTTTGAGGCCCAATTTCTGCTCGCCCTTTGCCATCTACACAACGGAGAAGTGAAGGCGGCATTTGAATGCAGCCAGGCTTCGGGCTCACGTGGTCTGCATGCTGGTTGTGCTTATGTCTTTGCTCAGACTTGCTTGGACTTGGGGAAATTCCTGGATGGTGTTACTGCCCTGGAGCGCAGCAAACCTCTATGGGCCTCCAAGAACCACTGGAGTAAGCGCCGGCAAACTTCTCCATCAACTTAGAGCTTAAGAGCTAACCATAATACAGACAAGCATAGTGAAACTCAGCGACAGCACCTGCCTGATGCTGCAGCTGTTTATTCTCTGCAGGGGAAGCTCTGGCACGCACACAAAGATTTGACCAAAGCAGTTGACTGCTATGTGGAGGCACTGAAATTGAACCCCTTCATGTGGGATGCATTCCTGGGGCTTTGCGAAACAGGTATGTCTTGCTTTCGCTTTCTTTCTTTGAGGCATGGTTCTTCTAATGCAATATTAGGTGTCAATATTCGAGTCCCGAATATCTTCCAGCTCAGCCCAGAACTTCTTGCAATAGTATCTTCATCGCCGGAGGAAATAGCTACTGCGCCAGATAACGTGGCTTACGAAGAAGGGAACTTCCCCATGCAGCCTCCTGGTAACCCTGAATCTGATCCTTTTATGGTCTCTGCCTCGCGTGGCGAGTCTGACACCACATTTGGGAGCTCTGCTCTTTGGGAAAAGCTGAATGGGAGCTCTGCCAATTTTGCTGCTATGGCACAGCCGGTTTTCCACGACGGAACGGAAACCCCAGGTGCACAGAGCAGTGGCTCTGACGACTTCCGCATTGCGAATGGCGTCACTGACCCAGAAGCTGAATGGGAAGCACCCTTGGCCCCAGCTCGAAAGACGCGGACAATCCAAACTATGAGCCTTGACCATACCGGGCAACCTCCTCCGCGAATGCGTCCAACAGGCATCAGACCTCGACACAAAACACGAACCGAACCAGAGACCCAGCCGACTGCTCCGGTAGAAAGGGATCCCTCTCTTGTATCGAGATTTGGCGACCGAAAACGCACAGTGTCTGGACAAGTCGCCCATCCTCTTCCTTCGTCACAACCAACAGAACCAGGTGCTCCCCAGCGCCGAAGCGTCCGACTCTTCAACCAGATCAAACCCACAACCAGCAAGCTTTCCAACGGCACGCTCACTGGCAGAGATGGCCGCGAGATGAAGAAGTTAAGAGGAGGGCCTACGAAAGGACGGGTAGGAAGTGTGCCCACTGTCGGCCGTGTCGTGAGTGGCAATCGAAAACCCATGGAAACACCCGACAATGACGGTAAAGATAATCGGAATGGCTTGTCGCAATCCCACCCTATTGTCCCCCCATTGCCCAAAAATGCTGAAAAAACCAAAGAACTCGAAGCCTTGGATTGGCTTTTGGGTCTTTTCAATAAACTTGCATCTGGATATTTCGCATTGAGCCGTTACAAGTGTGCGGACGCCATCAGCTCTTTTAATTCTCTCTCCCAAGGGCAGCGTGAAACCCCTTGGGTTTTGTCTCAACTTGGACGGACCTATTTCGAACAAGCAAGCTACACAGAAGCTGCAAAGTACTTTTCCAGGGTTCAAAAATTAGCGCCCTCCCGCATCGAGGATATGGAAATCTATTCGACTGTCTTATGGCATCTGAAAAGTGATGTAGAACTGGCTTACTTGGCCCATCAGCTACTCGAAGCTGATCGCCTGTCCCCTCAGGCGTGGTGTGCTATTGGCAACTCTTTCTCTCATCAACGGGATCACGATCAGGCACTCAAGTGCTTCAAGCGTGCGAGTATGATCGATCCTGGATTTGCATATGCTTTCACACTGCAGGGACATGAATATGTCGCTAACGAAGAATATGACAAGGCGTTGGAGGCCTATCGCCACGGAATCAACGCGGACAATCGACATTACAATGCTTGGTACGGACTGGGAACGGTGTATGACAAGATGGGCAAGCTCGACTTCGCTGAGCAGCATTTCCGCAATGCAGCCAGCATTAACCCGACGAACGCGGTGCTCATTTGCTGCATTGGTCTCGTATTGGAGAAAATGAACAATCCCCAAGATGCCCTGGTTCACTACGGTCGAGCCTCCTCGCTAGCCCCCCACTCGGTATTAGCCAAGTTCCGCAAGGCGCGCGTACTCATGAAGCTACGCGAATACAAGTTCGCCTTGGCAGAATTGAAGGTCCTGAAAGACATGGCGCCGAATGAAGCAAATGTGCATTACCTTCTTGGAAAGCTGTACAAAATGCTCCACGACAAGGCCAATGCTATCAAGCATTTCACGGCGGCCTTGAACTTGGACCCAAAGGTACGTCTTGGAATATATTTTCCCAATTTTCCCTCCCCCTTTTAAGTTCTTTCTGACCGTGATCCCACACAGGCTGCACAATACATCAAAGACGCAATGGAGTCGTTGGACGACGACGATATGGAGGATGAGGACATAGCGTAGGCCTGTGACGTCCCAGGTCTTTTTCTTGGGTTCCCACGGGGGCCCTCTCTTATGAACTCGGCGTTTGAGGGCCTCTTTGCACAGCATCACTGTGGAGTTTTCTTTTCCAGGTTTAGACATCTGGCATATGATGGTGTTCTGTACATTAGTTGAACGGTTTTTCCCTGGGCATGCATCATGAGGATGGTGCATGCATAATTTCATTATTCTTTGACCAAGGTGATCTTCATCATTGGCTGGATCCTTAAAAATTATATTTGACTCTAAAATGCACCTGCGCACAGGAAGTGCCCTGGTGACATCGTCATATGCACCTACCAGGCGGTAGGTCAGCCTCGGGGCAGAAAAACGATTCGACGTTCCCACTCCGATTTGCCCTTCCCCACAAGCCATGCATGGCTCAGTCTTGGATTTGATCTGCTATTCCTCTTTACTTCGCTGATTTCTTCGTCGTTTTCAATCGTGGGCTGGTTGTTGCCCGTGTACCAGTGAACAAAGTACGTCTACTCTCAGGAAGTATAATTTCTGTATACTGACAGCATTTATCCAGCTCTTCTTGACTCGCCCAACAACCGTCATCATGTCTTTCGGCTCTTATATTGTTTCAGGTGTTAGCTCTTTCGTGGTTGTGACCGTCTCCCTCTTCGCAATCGGCCAAAAAGTGCCTCGTGCCGCTTTCGCCGCCCGGTGTCTCGCCTCATATGGCAGTCTCCTAATTAGTGCCGCGTACGGCGTGATCGTCTCGATCTGTCTGCGGCTAGTTGGATACGGCCGTGTTTCACAGTGGGCAACAGGCCGCAGCTTTAAGTGGCTGATGCGATTCACAACTGGCGTCAAGTTCGAGGTTGTCGAAGGCGCAGAATACCTCTCCACACGTCCGGCCGTCTTCGTTGGTAACCACCAGACTGAGCTCGACGTGTTGATGCTTGGCTGCGTCTTCCCCCCATACTGCAGTGTGACTGCCAAGAAGTCACTGCGGAATATTCCTTTCCTGGGCTGGTTCATGTCACTTTCCCGGACAGTGTTCATTGACCGTGCCAACCGGGAGACAGCCCTCAAGGCTTTCGACGGCGCCGCCGCCGAGATGCGCGATCACCGCCAGAGTGTCTTTATTTTCGCCGAGGGCACCCGGAGTTACTCTGATGAGCCTACCCTACTGCCCTTCAAGAAGGGTGCTTTCCATCTCGCTGTCAAGGCCGGTGTGCCGATCGTGCCGATTGTGACAGAGAACTATTCGCACGTTCTGTCGCCTCGTGCCTGGCGATTCAACGCTGGGACTATCAAAATCAAAGGTGGGTCTTATCAGAAGTTGCCAAGATATGTGTAGAGCATGGCTAACCATTTTGAAACAGTTTTGCCTCCCATCCCGACTAAGGATTTGACATCGGGCGACGTGGATAACTTGACCCAGTCGACCCGGGATTCGATGCTCAAAACTCTTGCAGCGATATCCCATGCGCAGAAGAACGAGATCGATGGTGCTCGCACCAACGGCGTCTCCAGCGCCATTCAAATCTAAGTGCCAAAACAACATTGTCCTTCGTCACAAAGCTCTACGCTCAGCACTTACCATATGTCTCTCCTGATTCGAGTGCAATATCGGGCATTCGAATTAAAAGTCCATTACAACAGAGAGAGCAGACCCGGACACCACCATTAACCAAGAAGCAATCTTCCCTTGACACTCACCGCAGTATAATCTGCTCACTTCTTCGGTACCTACTCTTCGGTTCATGACCCAAGAAATAGAATTTGAGGGCCCCAGAGCCGTCGAACCTATCCGACACAATCCGTGACTGCTCATGAGAACAACAATGATCTAGACATTGGCATTGCCTCTTGACACAAATTTCACTCTTGACTCACCTCTTCCCCCTTTGCAATTCGAAATGTATATATCCTTAGCGCAAACGCACGACATGACCCCCCCACTGTTGGATACTTGCTTTTCTTCCTTTTATATGTTTAGTTTACATTGGGCCATAGAATAGAAATAGGCTTGTATTCTTCACCTATCTTTTCCCGCGCAGTTTGTACTTCATCTCCGAAGATTGCCCTTGAATTGGATGTTCCAATAATTGAAAAGTGAAAAGTGCGAAGTGATATCAAACGCGGATATTCATTGAGCGGCTTATTGGAGATGAGCATCTGAGTGGCACACCTAGTGTCATGAGAAAAGAATGACAACTAGCTCAGAGGACATTATACTTGAAACAAAAAGACCCAGTGATCAGAATAAAAGACACAGAGAGGAATGAAAGGAAAGATTTCGTTTTCGCTAATCACAAAAAGCAATGAGAAATATGCTCAAGGGGAATTATCGCTCCGAAAACTCGCTGAAAGGAATATGAGATGAGGAGATGCAACATGCAACTCGGGTGGACGGTCACCCGGTCATATCCCATGAAGAGGGGACTCAGAAGCTTTGTAAATTCCGCAGGTGCTCACAGCGGCCCTCGACACAGGGCCGTATATCGATTTCAATATCGACCTCCTGCATCGGCAACCAGGGGTCGCTGATTTCCGAGCCCACGCGCCAGGGATCCCGATCACCTATTGATCGAAGTGCGAGGGGGGAAATGCGGACATTCTGAGATCCATTCTCAGGGTTGAGGGCTGGGATATATGCGGGTGGGCGGTGACCGCTGTCATTCACGACTACCTGCTGTGAAACGGATCCGATGTTGGAGCCCGACGCGGCTGTGGCAACTATGTAGTCAGACTCGAAGCCGACGAGCTGCACGCGCACAGAATGGTCGGGAACGCCACGTAAGGATACTTTGACATCGGAGTAAGGCCGGCCCCAATTCTGGACTGAGGGCACAATAAGAGTGGAAGAAGCGAGATTGTGACCAGCAAATCCGATATCCTGAACGGGTTCGGGGGGAACGACGTTTGTGAATTCTAGATCCTTTATCCAAGAGGCTAGAAGGCCGTCTCCAGTCATTTTCAAGTAAGCCTCCTTAAGAGCCCAAATCGAATAGAACAGCCGAATGCCATAGGCAGCAAGAACTTCCTCCTTGTCTTTTCTCGGGTCACTTTTATTCAGACCAAGCTCCCGAGCCAATTTAAGAGTCGCGTACGGGTTCTTGATGGTCGCAAGCTCACGGAGTGAGAGAACATCACTGAAGACTTCCACGAAAGTTGCGAGGTCGGCAAGTGTCTTCGGAGGACGGTTAGCACGACGACGAGAGGGTTCATCAACACAGGCAATATCAATTCCCACGCGAGGCAATCCTTGGGGCCCACCGGATAAGGTGTGGGCTGTTGCGGCACGCGTGCCTGCGAACAGAGTGAGGCCAGCCTGATGGCTGACGTTGAAATCAAGACTTGAGTCGTAAAATGGGCGATTCTCGGGCATGGGAGTACGCTGAATCTCAACCTTATTCCAGGGAGTGCCAGTGGCTTGGTGAACATAGTAATATTTCAGGAGCTGGGAGGCCAAGGACAGACGCTTGTCCGAAGTTTGATAGTACTTCTTGACGGCTATCTGATCAGACTGGGTTAAGGTTTCAAGAAAAGGAAGATCCAAGTATTTTTCATCCCAACGTCTGACGTCGATGTACCATCGGACCAACGTGGGCTGATCCTTGGGGATGTCGTTCTGTCTGATCTCATTGGGATCCATTTTAGTCTGAAATTGGTCAGCGGCTACATTCGTAGATGCCATATGGCTACTCACAGGTCCAGACACACCGGGGTCTACCATTGCATTGTTCTCATAGGGTCTCATATATATTCGCACCTTAGATGCTCCGCAACCCACCTGGATAGAAGCCATATTGGCATCTTATCGGGGTCCTTATCTATCAACACGTGTCGATAAGGCAACGGCGTATCCATGGATGGCTGGTGCATGGAACTAGTATAAGCATCACTCGTCTTCTGGTTTTCTATACTATCATGGCTGGGCTTATCCAGTGTGTTTCTTAAAGCAAAATGGCGCAGGCATCGTCCACGGGTCCGAGAGCTCCCCTCACATCCATTAGGGAATTAAAGATGAGATAAGAGAATGTCACGTGATGGTATGTTCCCCGTCGGGAAGTCAAAGTCACGTGCTGCAAAAGAGTCATCAATATCAAGAAGAATCCGAGGTCGGAGGGTCCTCAATTCCTATCTTTAGAGACAATGGGTATTACTGTTGGAGTCCTGGCTCTGCAGGGCGCATTTTTTGAGCATGTACAGCTTTTGAAAAAAGCCGCTGAGCAAGCGCAGCCGTCGGAATGGCACTTCATTGAAGTACGAACGCCACAAGAACTGGCAACATGCGACGGCCTGGTCTTGCCCGGAGGCGAGAGCACCACCATGTCTTTAGTCGCAGCAAGGTCTAAGCTTCTTGAGCCACTGCGGGAATTTGTAAAGTAAGTGAATCTGGTCGGTCCGTATCAATTCAATCTAATACGTTGGGTATGCAGGGTGGACCGCAAACCAACGTGGGGTACATGCGCCGGGCTCATTTTGCTTGCCGAGTCTGCCAACAAGACAAAGAAGGGCGGCCAAGAGCTGATCGGTGGTCTTGATGTGCGAGTGAACCGGAACCACTTCGGTCGACAGACAGAAAGCTTCCAAGGCCCGTTGGATCTGCCATTCTTGGGTCAGGACGCGCCTCCCTTCCCAGCAGTATTCATTCGAGCCCCTATTGTCGAAAAAATTCTTCCCCACCATGAGGGCATTCAAACGGAAGAGATTCGACGGGAAAATGTTGTCGTGGCACCGTCCAGGGAAGCACGGGACTCAGTGGCGCGAGCAGCAACAGCAGAGCACGTTGAGGTACTGGCAACGTTAGTGGGACCGGCAGCTCAACGCGCGACGGAAGGTCGAGACGTCAATCCAGACCAGGAAACTGGCGACATTGTTGCAGTGCGACAGGGCAATGTATTCGGCACCAGCTTCCACCCGGAGCTGACAGGTGACGCAAGAATCCACGCTTGGTGGTTGCGCGAAGTTCAAGCAGCAGTGCTGAGACGAGAGAAGTTAAAGCAATAATTCACTAGCATTAGAAGGCGACGTGAAAAAAGGCGACGGGACAAAAGAAAGTTGTAAATAGGGTATTTGGTGAATAGACATTTCCTGTCTCTGCTAATTGGATTCACCCTCCCACGAAGTAACGCCATTGCTTTGCCAAGCCAGTACTTTTCCATTACATCCTGACCTACCTTCCGGCGCCGTATTCATCCTCCTCGCGCTGGCGCTGCTCATCATAGGCGCGGCCATATCCACCACGACCTGGATCGTATTCCTCACGGTATTCATCACGCACTTGGCCTCCCGATTTGCCTCGTCTGCAAGGAAAGTCAGTCATTACTAGCCCATAGCCGCCATTGGTGAAGACCACATACCCGAACTGCCGTCCTTCCTCAAATCCAGGGTCAAGGTCTGTCCGGATGATCCGCTCGTCCAACTTGGTTCCTCCGATATATTTCAAGCAATCCAGCGCATCCTGGTGGGTATAATACTCGACGAAGCAAAAGCCGCAGGGTGTTTTGTTGAATCGGTCGAGGCCCATTACAAGTCGCTTGATCTCGCCGCACCTGAAATTGTTCGAGGTTAATCATAGTTCAAAGGGATGCGAAGGCGCATTCTCACTTGGCGAAGAGCTCATGGATTTGTTCCTCGGTGGTGTAAAAGGAACTTCATCTGGTCAGTAACGGCAATTGCGTCTGTCCAGTTTATTTCATGCTTGCATACAGATTTCCAACGTAGAGGGTTGTCGCATTCTTCAACTTTTCATCAGGTTTCTCCTGTTGCTGCGGTTCCTCTTCATCGCGATCGTTGAATCTGCGTCGCTTGTTCTGTATACAGTTGTTCAGCCTATATAGCCCATCCGGACTGGTTTCGACACAGCTTGGTAAAGGCCAGTCCAGGGTGAGTACTCACCTTGCTAACATAGTAGGCGCTCGGTCGATCCAGTCGGTCGACTGTATTTACAGCCAGTAAACTCATAGTGAATTGAGACGATGGCTGAACTTGGAGTTTGTGGTTGACGGAAGGTAGTTGGGGAAGCAAAGCAGCTCGGAGCTCTTCGAAATATCTTGGCACCCAAGAATTCCACTCCGCATCAACAACTTTGCTTTCGTCAACTTTCTTTTTTCGCCCACGCCACTTGTGTTCTATTTCCGACCGCCCAAGGATGGTCTGAGGTTCTTGAGACATTCCGATTATACAATTCAACTTACGAAACATCCCTAATGCCGATGGTCAACAGTTATGCGCCTGCCTGGCTGTGCCGGCCCTCGCCTGGCGCAAAGTTCCTGTCCAGCAGTTCAGCCCAAAGTCCAGCGGAGGACCTGCAAACCGGATCCAAGCCTGTGAGCAATGGAGCTACTCGAACGATTGCCAAGAGGGGAAATGAGGTGTTCGCCGTTGTTGACAATGAGATACGGTGGTCAAACCTTGCCCGACTCAAAGACCAATGGCAGCAAGAAATTAAGCAAAAGAAGGGATCTGCTGGTCAAACTGAAGAGCAATCCGACAACATTCAGCCTTCGCCCTACAGGGTATGAACGCCTTAATACACCTAAGGGAACCATCGAGTTTCGAGTTGAATTGAATTGCGACTAACCTTTCCGCAGGTTCTAGCAGTGCCTGTGTACGGACTGATCAAACAGATCATCCCCTCTCCAAACGGTGCCTTCCTTGCCATCGTCACCGAACACACCGTTCACATCTCCGTCCTGCCCGATTCTTCGCACCTTTCGTCTTCCGACTCCGACTCTATCCGGCTGAAGACATATCAGTTAGGACCGACGACCCATGTTATTCCCGAGGCTCCGGTGGTCTCCGCGCTATGGCATCCACTTGGATTGCACACCAATCTAGGGGGATGTATTGTTACAACCACAGCTGATGCCGCGGTGCGTGTGTGGGAGTTGGACCGGAATAACCACTGGTCCTTCGACCAGCCGACCCTAGCAATCGATCTGAAGAAGCTTGTCGATGGGACCTCATCCGACCAGGACTTCGCGCCTTCTGGATTTGGCAAAAGCAAGGGATTCTCTGCCGACGTCATTGACATGGAGGTTGCGTCGGCCTGTTTCGCTGGCAGTGGGAACGAGAAAGAAGATGCATGGGCGCCTATGACCCTGTGGGTAGCCATGAGACCCGGTGATCTCTATGCGCTTTGTCCTCTCCTGCCTTCGAAGTGGCAAGCCCCTTCTACTACCATTCCGTCTCTTTCCGCGGCGATTATTCCGAAACTCGGTGCTCTGGAACAGGAAGATGAGGAGTCGGAGGAGGAACTGATTGCCTGCCGGCAACAGTACGACTGGCTTTCCGAGCTTGACGAACAAGAGCCTCTGGACGCGCGATCTGGGTCAGAAACAATCCAAGGGGCAGATGTTTTCACTCGCCCGGCCAATCCTAGCGCCATTCCAAGGTTACAAGGCCCCTTCCGCTTCAATAATGGCGATGAGCTCGATGATTTGGATCTCTGTGATCTCCTTGTCATTGCTGCCAGTTTAAACGTCGAGGATCTCATGATGGGCGAGGAAGAAGAGTTAGTTGTGGAAGCCGGAGACCAAGAGAAGCTTTCGGCAACGGTGCTCTCTCTGACTAGTGGGAATGGCCGAGTCCACATCTGTCTGGAGCTCGATGGCGTTGAAGGACAATGGCTACCCAAAGCTAGAAAGAACGCGTTCCGAACTCCTATTTCAGAGCCGACTGAATTGGTCTTGGTCGAATCTCTAGATACAATCAAGGATGGAGAGGAAACAACTACATGGCCTACTTTCACTAAAGATGTCCATTCTCGGTACTCGTTCTTTGTCACAACTGCCACCAACGTGGTGTTCCTGTCTCTATCCAGTTGGGTACAGAGACTGGAGGCCGAATTGCAAGCGGAAGACCTAGCCGGTTCCGCTTTCCGTCTCCAGGTTCTCTGTGACGGGAATGTGACCAACCGAGAGAGAATTTTGCAGGTTTCGAATGCCGATATTACCGCGCAGGATCAACGTCTTGCCACGTCTCTTGTTTTCCATGACTTCGACCTTGGCTACTTGCTCCTCACCTACCATCCATCTAACCCTTATGCGGTTGTAATGGATACACCAGAAGATTCTCTATCCGTGGCACTGGACAAATCGCTGTATGGGCCCAGGGCGCCAGCGCCAGGCTTGCCTATTTTGCCCCCGAGCCGGGTGCCATATCAAGTTCCCGCCATTTTCTACGCCAACTCTCCGCTGGATTCTTTTGTCGAGAAGCACGTCCCGCACCGGCAACGCCACACGCTCAAGGAGCAAGTGCGCTTGTCTCCCGCGACATTGGACCTCGTGGCTACTGCGCATCGCGTGCTATCCGCTCATACAAATGCTCTTGAGCGAGCTGCTTCAGATTTATTTCGCCGCTGTGAGCGGCTGCAGGGCGAGATGCAGGACCAATTGAAGCAGCTTGCAGATGTTGGAGAGCGTGTCAAGGGAGTCACGAGTGAGATAAGGGAAGATGGGCATCGCAAGGAGGGAGTCCGAAATGGAGAAGCGCTGGATAAGAGATTGCAAGCCGCCCAGGATAAGCAAAGTGAACTGAACCAACGATATGAGGCACTACGCACAAAGGTCCTGAATTCTGGTGGTCGCCCTCTGAGTGAACGGGAGAAGGCTTGGATAACCGAGGTAAAGACATTGTCTGCATCCTTACAGCAGGTTGAAGACCAAGAGGAGGATCAACCGTTGATCTCACGGTTGGAGACTGTAGGTTTTGTCTTTCTCGCATTCGCCCCAGCTAGAAATACTCACATATTATCTAGGTCAAACGCCTTGCTCGGGACCTTATGGCCCAAACCAAATCTGTCACGGGCAAAATGCCTTCTCCAGAACCTGGCAGTCCGTCCTCTCCTGGGGGCCAGCCTAAGGTGCCCCAAAGACTGCAACGGGCCAAGGTTGCAGATGCAATGAGGATGGTCGAACGAGAGTGAGTGGATTCTTTCATTTGCCTATTAATGGCCCAATGACTAACATTCTTCCAGGTCTGCCGTTATTGACGCGATTACCTCACGTTTGGAACGACTGAACACTAGTCTGTGAACCGTCTAGCTCTACATGTTGTCGGAGGATCTAGGTTTTCACATGTATGTTATTACGCATCAATCCACGAGGCTCGTAAGACAAGCCACATTTTGAAATTTGAACTCTCGAACTTTGAGCCTCGGGCTGTCCTAAGCTAGATCTGGACGAAAGTTATAAAGTCATTAATAGTTGTCCGTATCTCCATTCCTCCTAGTTGATTTAGGTAGCCTCAAATAGTTGCCCTTTTCATGTGTCCACACCTCTTCATCCTGTTCCATCCACGTAATAATCAGACCCTGGTCCTGGAATGATCCCGAAATAACTGTGGAACCAAAGTCACCATAGCAGTCTACAATATGCTAACACGTTTAACGACATCTTCCAGTCCGCCATTCCTATTCTCCTACTCTTTTGTGGGATAATACTCCTGCGCTGAGCTATAAAACAGCAATGATCGGTCCTCCAAGCTTTTGATCAGGCCTTTAGGCCTAACAGAGGGACCCATAATACTATAGTAAAGATCTTCTTCTTCTTCATTCCCAGAGCTGAAACTTTCCTCGTCGGGGTTTTCTTCATCGAGATACTCCTCACAAGAAACAAAAGAATCCGCACCATCCGACAAGCACTGGAATGGTGTTGTCCTGTGGCGCCTTGCTCGATAGTCCCTCCCCATCGACGCAAGATCCACCGGGTCACAGGTCCTGGTCAAATCGAAATGGTTATCCTCAGATACAGGACACGACGGCGAATGTATCTCATAGTATAGTTGCGGGGTCACAGGTCGCGAGTATGTAGATGGCGACACGGACTCTTCAGCTGAGAGATAGTCCTCGTCATCGTCGGAAATATTGTCAGTCTCAGCTGGGTCGCTATCGCAATCCAATGTCGCCATTTCAGGTGCTTCTCCGTCTCTGTCAGCTTCGTCACATGTTTGTGGTTCGTAAACCCGCTTATCCCCTCTCGCCCAGCAGTCTGCGCATGTCGCTGTGTGGGATTCGAGCGTTATCATTCTCGGAGCCCAGCAGAGCCGCTTGTCTTGGCATTTTGATGGGTCCATGTCCCATATACAGCCGCACAATGTATACTTGCATGTCCAGTAGATGCACATCTTGGAGGATGGAGAATCTCAGATTCCGTTGGGTTGTACCTTGGTGATAGGGTTTAGTAGGAAAAAAAGAGGAGAGACCGTGTATCTTATAGCTTCAATCCATTTTTATTCAGAGCTATATATAATGACTCAGGGAGGCATTGATGGACAACTCAACTCTTAAGACAGTTCCAAATTGCACAAAGACCATGTGTTCCTGCGGGCTTGATTGCTCTCTCTGTCTTCCATTCCTAGGGTTTCTTCGTTTGGTTTCTTTTTCTTATTCTTTTTGCAGAAAACCAACAATAACAAGGTACATACATAGCGCTCTTTGTTCTCTTACAGGGCTGCTATAATCGATAGGGTTCGAACACACACGTGACCATTGGGAGGCAAACCAAATGTTTTACTTTTCTTTCATTGGACAATTAGATGTCAGATAATTAGGTAATTATGGTCTGGGGCTTCTCATAATAGTCTCAAGTGGTAGAAGACCAGGAAGTAAGTGTGTTGTGGAACCAAGTTCACTATAGCTCATTTGGGTCAAATTGCTATTCACGTACAGTGCATTCATCCTTAACTATCACAATCCATCGTAGATTACATGTCTTGTGGTTTCTTGCATTTCAGAAGGAAAAAGATCAAAATCAAAATCAAAAAACTCCTAGTGAACTCCAGTGCTCCAGTGCCGTTCTTTCCCACCAGGCCGCTCTGTATCAGCGCCGAAACCAGATCAAAATCCAAGTCACATGTTCGTTGTAATTGCTGTCATATCCATTGCATCATAATTGCAGAAAATCGAAGCCCAGGTGCTCAGAGCCAAGTCAAGTCGTCGAAGCCACCCCTGGGGTGCTGATGTAGAACGAGTTGGCCAGATCTTGGGCATCCTCAACTCGATCGTTGATCATGAGGTAAACATCATCGATGATCTCCTCCCAGGTAGGCAAGATCAGGCCCTCAAGGCAAACCTCCCATTTCCACATATCATCGGCAAACTTTCCTTCCCACCAGACACACCACTCGTTGTAGTCGTGCGGTTTATGGCTCATGAGACGAAAGGCCAAGTGCCCGATCTCCATGCGAAGCTGACGCCAGTTCTGGAAAGGACCAGACATAAAGCCGTCGATCCTGTTGGTGTAGTCACAGGTAAACTTTCCGTAGGCGATTGGGTCAACGCAGAACTGCAGGGCATCACGGGGGATTTTGGGAGCAGCTGCAAGGGTCGGGTCGGCGAAGTTCCAGTCCTCTTTCCATTCGAGGAGACGGCGCATGGAGGATTGGTGGAGCTGATAGACAATGGAGCCCGCTTTTTTCGGGCACAGCTCGAAATAGCGACGGTCGCGGACGACCATGATGCTCTTCATGCCGTAGACGGCTACCATAGCTCTGTACTGGAGGGTGTTCATGGCATTGCGCACCTCGGGGGGAGCCAAGATCCACTGCGGGACGATGAAGGCACTTGCATCGAAGTTGTAGTCGAGAATCGAGCGGCCTTGATTAAGAAGGCGCGTCATGGACCGCTTCTGGCGGAGTTTAAAGGTGACGTTGCTCATAGTTGGTGGATGTATGGGAAGAGAGCTGTGGGGAAAGAAGTGGTAAAGAGAGGTGGGTGGGAAAAAGATAGACAGACGAAAGATGGTAGAAGAAAATTAGAGGATCTGGGGAGTGTCTCGTCTGTAAGAGCACTGTTTTGCATGCGCTCAATGCCCTTTGACATCCTTATTTTGACGTCGACGGCCACATGTAATATTGCGGCTTATTTTAGTTCTCGATTTACCTTTCCAACCTTGGAGACCTTCCGGCGATTAAACTACCTACTAAGCTAAACGCGTTATTGTTAGCTTCAGGCGAGAGTCTATTCTAGAGTTGGGGTTCAACTATGATATCAGGCATATCCTCGAGTTCCATTTTGTTGAGTCCAAAGAGACAACGAGCTTCAAGTTCTGTTGTGATATATTCAAACCTTTTTTCACAAGGTATGAGCATTCTGAGACTTCATCTTCAAATAATATATATTGGCATCTTTCTATGGCGGGTGAAAGGCTGTCGCGGGTTCCGCTACTCGATTGGTCCTGCCCGAGACAAGACACAAGACACTCATCAACCAGAAGAGAACAAAGATGGCATTCATTCATTGTAACGTATTTCTTTTGAAGATTATTCCAAGAAGTGAGACCAGGTTTTGCAAAGAATTGCGATCAGAATTTCTCGCAGCTGAATTGACCAAGACATAGGAGCATGCGCTTATTGGACACTGAAAACCGAGATCCAGGATTAGCCATGTTTCACTTCACTTCCAGAATGAACCTACCGTTCAATGAGGTGAACTCCGGATGCTGTCTCGATGACGCTGCTGACTTGGCCAGGCTGTAGGCCAAAAGCGGCATCTTCAAACTCCTTCTGCATCTCGCCGCGGCCAAAGAAGCCCCTTCCAGGAGTTAGCGAGACATTTGGCATGTAAGCCACCTTGGGGGAACTCACAAATCGCCCTTCTTCCGGGCACTGCTGCAGTCGGACTCAGCGACTGCCAGGTCGCCAAGAGTGGTCTCTCCAGATTGAATGCGCTGTTCATGACCCTTGAGAATCTCAATCGCCTCCTCCTTTGTGCGAGTAATATCAGCCTCCCTCCAACTGCTGGGACGGCGGCTATCGCGGTGCTTGACAAGCAAGTGACTGCAGCGGATCTTGCCCTCGCCCTCGCCAGAGGCGTCAGGGCGAGCAGCTGGGGTGTGGTTTTGCGCCATGTATACTTTCAGCTTATCGGTATCAGTATCCGCAGGTGGCTCCCAGCGAGACTCTTTTGTAGAAGGGTTGAAATAGTATGGGAGATTCTTAGAGTTGGAATGGCGAACTTCCCAACCGGTGGGAAGACCTGTGTCGGCCTAGGTTGAAGAGTCAGCTATGCAAACTTTCAGAAAGATTGATCTGATCCCACCATTTTCCAAATATCAGATCTAAAAGATTTTGAGAATTTTTGTGTAAATAATAATGTACAGATCAATATCACTCCAATGGATATTCCAAAGTAAACGACAAAATGATTTCGTCAGTAGCAACCGTTGTATGGACGGGAAACTGCGGGGTGAACATCTGCAAACCACACAAACATGTCTAAGCTTTAGCTCCAAGGCTCTCCTGGGCCCTCACCATACAACCCACGTGATTTTTCTCGAAATCACGTGGTTTTGTTCTTTCGATTTCCATCAATATGGAGGTTAATTACATGGTTAGTTCTCCCATCTTCAAGCCACTGTCTCCGTTCCCACGGTTTTCTCAGAGATTACTGGTGGCTTAGTATCTCAATACAGCACGTCTACCCATCTTCGCAGTATGTCTGCCAGCCCTTCTTCCACCGCTGGTGGCGACACCAAGCCATCGGATCAGATTCACTTTAAGTTTTGCCGTGAATGGTAAGTCTCTTTCCAAGTCCACTACATCAAGTTGATCGACGCGGCAACGGATATGGCTCGAGGGCAGCTCGCTTACTTTTCGATAGCTCCAACCTGCTCTACCCCAAGGAGGACCGTGTCAACAACCAGTTGATGTTCACCTGCCGTACTTGCCATGTTGGCGAGCCTGCGTCCTCTCACTGTGTTTACCAAAACCATCTCCATAGCCAAGTCGGTGATACTGCCGGTGTCACTCAGGATGTGACGTCTGACCCCACGGTTTGTGCTCCTGGTTTTTGTACTCTTTGCGGTGATATAGTCGCTTGTTCTATTTGCGGCCCCACCCCGGATGAGGAGGATCTCCCCGAGGATGCGCCGCCTGCGGGTGACAGCCTGGAGTCCTCTGAAGTCGAGCCCCGGGCGTTTACCCCAGCTCTGTAACTTCTGGAGCATCCATAGGCTAACCCCCTGTGATTTGCAGCTCCCACGGGCCAACAAGCTCTGTCCAAGCTGCGGCGAAACCGAAGCGGTCTTTTTCCAGTCACAACAACGATCTGCCGAAACCGGCATGGTGAGAACTGATCCTTTCATGGACCCCTGACCCTCTAATACAAATCATGCGCTGACTCATGCTTCTATTTACTCAGAAACTCTACTACGTCTGTTGCGCGTGCGGCCAAGTCTACGTGTGATCTCTGCTTTTCTGCAATGCGGTCTCCAATTTCTGATACCCTTGAATTTTTGTTTTTGTGGTTTTTCGCGGCATCATCGGAGTTTGGCGAATATTTCGGAGCAGGAACGGGGGAAGATGCGTGGAGATTTCGGAACGGGGGTGAAACTGATGCTATCAACTAAGAATACATATGGATTTAAAACCCAATCAAAGAAACAAAGAGCGCTTTCCAACGAATGTAGACCTGAAATATTAAACATGGATCGGCGCCAATGACAAGATCTTCGACCACTTCTTGTTCCGTAGCTCTTGTCCCACCACACCTGAGTGATATCAGTATCTAGAACGTGGAGACGGCAGTAATCTTAGACTCCCAAGTAGCACTTACCGTTCATTCTCGTTCCGATGGGATCTCCGGACTTGTTGACCAATACACACGCATTATCACCAAACCGGACAAGGGACCCATCAGGCCGTTGCAACTCCTTTTTCACACGAACAACAACGGCATGACGAATATCACCACGGCGGACCTTACTGGCGAGCGCAGCGGCGGTGGTGGCTTCGGAGCCTGCAGATCGCTGCTTCTGGACGACGACGACTATCCGGTCACCTAGATACCCAACCACAAGGTTAGCTTGGATACGCAATTCCTTCTGGCTGTGCTGTGTGCTGGGTTAGAGTATCGTGGAGACTGACCGATTGTCGCGGGCCGCTTCTTCTTCAGGACGTTCACGCACTCGACGATCGAGGCGCCGGAGTTGTCGATGCAATTTAATAGCGTCTAGCGGAGCGAGGGTCAGTATTTTCTGAGACAGTAACGGCATCGCCTGCGCACCTTTAATTGAATCATTGTATTTTGGTACTTGACCTGGAGTTAATGCTTGTCCGCAATTTGTTCTTGCGGCCGGAGGGAGGTTTCCCCGGAGAGTAGGTTTATCCGGGCCTGTATGCATTCTATACAATATCTAATAGGACTTGAAGTTGGAATTTCTGGGAATGGATTTTCTGCTGTTATTCAATTATTTCGAATATTAAATCAAACTTGTTTTTTTTTTGGCTTATAAAATCTGTCTTTTGATTCTCCAATTGACCATATCAGCCATAGTACGTCCTAAGCAAGCATGAGAAGCGCCGCTTGTTCATAATATATACCTTGACCGGTCTTGTGAGTTTATTGTCTTTAATTATATTTCTCTAGTAATCTGGGGATGTGTACTTTTCTATATTACTACTATCTAACACCCTACGTGGAATTTCGCTGACTCGATCCATGCGGCATTGAAGATATATAGTTCAACAACATCCCAACTTTGGATCTATACAATCCTTATTTCCCCCCTTTGTTTCCCCACTTACCAAGGCAGACTGGCTTTCCTATACTCCAAAGACATACACATCACAAGATTAAGCTCGAAAAACCATGGGTTACTCCTGAAAAGCCCACAAAGGCAAGCATCCGATGTTCATACTTGGATCCATCAGATTCTCCAGTAGTCCATTGGCTCGGATATTCCACAACAAATACCCATTGAGGGATAATATGCAACATATTCTACGCGCAAGACAGAAAAGAACGATCACTTGATCTTAAGGATTATTTTGATTGGGTGGAATTGCGGTGATACGACATGGGAGAAGGACTGGATGGCTTGACGCACGGTGCATACTGTTGTATGCGAGCCGGGCGCGTAAAATGAAGTCAAAACAAACCTATCGGAGTAGAAACTGGAATACTAACAATAATAAATCACCTCATATCGAACAATTGTTAGTATAGCGAAAGCGACACGTCAAGGGGAAAGGCGGAAGAGTGAAAGTAGAGGACGGCAAGGCCTCAGCTGACACTCCCGAGTGTCCGTTCCGCCCCTAAAAACATCTGCGAAGGAGGCCTTTCTCCTTGGAACAGCCTCAATGGTGAAAATTACTTGACAATGTTCTTTGTGTTGGTCGTCAGTCACTCATTTTGATTCTTGTCTTACGCTTCGAATCATTTTTCGACCCCCATCCCTCGGACCTCCTCCGCTCTCCACTGATCCCCCAAACTCCCTTTGCACCCGCTCTGCATTCTATGAGACCACCTCTTCTCTCCCGCTTCGATCTCTAGCGGTCTTAAGCTTCTTGCTACGTCTACCATGCCTCCAAAAAGAGCGCGAAAGAGCTCGCCCGCCGCCGAACGTCGCGAGCGCTTGACTCTGGCTAAACTGGCCAGCTATGACGATGTCGCAACCGATGCGCTAGTGGATCACGTATGTCCTTTGCCTGCAGTTCAATACAGAGATCCGTCCACTAACAATTGCTGTTGACAGGCTTATTTTTGGACCACCACCCGCAAGAACCGCACCAAGTACAGCCCTGCCCGCGGAATCCACGATGACGACGTTGGGCGCATTCTTCTCCACGATGTTATTGTGGACAAGGATATCCCAAAGGCCGAACGCAAGCTGTTGGAGCTATCAGGCTTAAAGAAATACATGGCGAACCTCCGTAGCCCTCGGGAGAAGGAGTGGTTCCGCCGACATCTCCGCAAGTACATTCAGATGTATCTTCCAGACTGTCCGTTTGAGGTCACCACGACCAACCGATACATCATCACGCAACATGAGGCTGCTATCTGCGCTCGCAGGTTTATAAAAAAGGGCGAGGAGATCAAACACCTGAGCGGAACACTTGTATCTATGACCCATGAAGAAGAGTTGGATCTCGGCTTGACCCGCAAAGACTTCAGCATCGTGATGTCGAGTCGTCGCAAAGCTCCATCCTTTTTCCTGGGTCCTGCTCGTTTTGCCAATCATGACTGCGATGCCAATGGTAGCTTGACAACTAGGGGCAACGAGGGCATGTCTGTCCTAGCCATGCGCGACATTCACGAGGGAGAAGAGATAACGGTTTCCTACGGAGAGGATTACTTTGGCGTTGACAACTGCGAGTGTCTGTGTCATACTTGCGAGATTGCTGTACGAAATGGCTGGTCGTCGCATGTTGACACAGAGACGAACAGCAAGGAGTCCAGTCCCGTGCTTGAAGCTACACCGACTGAAGATACACCAGCTGAAGATAGCAGTTTGAGCAGGAAGCGTGGACGCAGCTCGGACGTGGAGGAATCGGAGAGCTCCTCTACCTTGGCTAGTTCCACTCCGCGCAAACGTGCAAAGTTCCAACGACAAGTTTCTAAGCTGCGAGAAGAGATCTCAGTTTCTGAACTTACTGGGGAATCAGCCTTAGCTCCAACGCGTGGATCAGACAACACCCCTATCCAGGACACTGTACTGATTCCAACTGGTCTTCTGGCGGAAACTGTACCCCAGGTGTCCAAGCTGAAGAAAGAGATCATAGAGCGAACCGCAGTGGCGTCGCCAACTGTTTCACAACCCACCATTCCAGTTTCCACAGGGGCGGGGCAAGCAAGAGTGGCTGCCCAAGGCGAAGCAAACGGGACAAATGGCTCTAATTCTACAATCCCCACGGACTGCGAATCTCCAAACTCCACCGCCGATCAATCCCACCGGTCGTCGACGTCAACTACCCCGACAACGGAGGACGATATTGGAACCAAGGTCAAGACAGAAGACACTATGTTGGAACAGTCTGAGTCGAAAGCACTCGACGGTGGAGATCATCCCGAAGCCTCCCCTGAAGGTCAGCCCCTCACCACCCACTCCATGGACATTGACCCCGAAGAAGGATTGTCAGACTTATCAAATTCCACCAACTTAGACGAAGCCGGTGCTGTTGCGGATAAGCCGAAAAAGCGAAAGCCTCGGACCAAGCGGCGATTCATTGTAGACTCCGTCGAGACCGAGTCACAAGTTGCCCGAGTTCCTGGAGACTATACCAAGACATCACGATTGCTTGCCCAGAAGTACGACCGCTGGGTGGAGTGCCAGACTTGTGATACATGGTTCCTCCAGTCAAACTCGTACCTCACGCGCCGTGAATGTCCGCGCTGCGAACGCCATTCCAAGCTGTACGGATACCAGTGGCCATCAACGGACAAGGGCCCAGATGGCGAAGACCGAGTAATGGATCATCGCACTATCCATCGGTTTTTGTCTCCCGACGCACAATCACGTATCTGCCGTCGAGACCGCGGCGTTAGTTTTGGGATCACCCCCACCCCCGAACTATCTGACACAAACACCCCAGAAACGGAGACCAGTGATGTAACTGAGTCTCGCCGTGATGCTCGAGCAACTCGGCGTCGCACTAGAGATCTTCGTATGACTATGTAAACAGTACAGCCTTGGAGCCATGTTTGATGTATGAGACAAGACGGGTGAGGACGGAGTTTTGGTTTAGGAGACCGGACATTTGTGATAATACTTGTTTTAACTGGCATTATATTGCATGGGAATTGGATCTGGAGTTTTGATTTCTTGCAATGATGCATTTTTAGGATTGGAATCTGGAGGGACAGTGTTTACTTGGGCTTCGTTCTCTCCCTTGGCAGCTTCTTTTTGACACACTAATTGTGGTCATGATGTTGAATATAAATATAACTAGGTGTTCTGGTAGCTAACTACTGTCTGTTCTCACTATATGATCAACGTTCTATCGGGGTGATCGAATCCGAATTGACAACCATTGCACAACCCCCCGCATCTCGCCCCGGATATCGACAATAACTGCACCAATGAGCTGCTCTCGCAGCGAAGCCCAAGAATGTCTGCTTGACAAACCCCAAATTGCCTGAGAGCCCCACAGAGACGCTCGGGTTTTCCTTTGCCGAATGCGATTGCTCTCGTCAAATGGGGTGATGGTTCCTCATTGCGCCCAGAAAGGCTATATATGGTCTGCCTGGGCCCGCCGGGCTCAACACAGCAGATGAGTAGAACAACAACTCTAAACGAAAACCCCCGAAACCCGAAGATGAGGTTCTCAAATCTCATTGCCGCCCTTCTCCTCGGCTTCGGGGTCACAGCCAGCACTGCATGGGACAATCCTCTAGTTTCCCTCGACTACGGATCCTTCAAAGGTCAATATGACAGTACTTACAACCTCTCATATTTCCGCAAGATC